CAAAGATTGTTTGTGTAATGGTGACAACATGCCCTCTTAAGCAACAACATAAGAGCATATAGAAGATTTTTCTAAATCAATATGACTATAAATGGTGCATAAGGGATGATGTTTTAATATGCATGTTTATACATTTATACATTTTTTGTATGTATTATGTAAAGTATGCATATAAACTATTCAAATGATTTAATAGATGTCCTCACTACTACAAATAAAGTTTTCAACGTCGGTTGTTGTATCAGGCGACGTTGAAAGTCATAACTTTCAACGTCGGTTCTAATAAATCGACGTTGAAAGTATGATTTTTTAAATTAATAATTTTTATTTATTTACAACCCCTTTATCCCTCTTTTTTTATTTATCTAGAAGTCTCCCCTCTCTTTATATTATATTTTTATTAGGTCCCCCATCTCTTTATATTATATTTTTTAGAAGTTTATTAATTCTTTAAGAGAATTGTCATTGACAGAATTCGAACCCAGTAGCTTAGAGTTGGAGGCTCATACTCCAACCACTAAACTACTACAATTTTTTGATAATAACTTACAAATAAATTATATTTATATACAAATAAATATATATCCGTGTAAATATATAAATACAAATATATTTATATATTTTGATATATTTATATAGTTATATATTTATATGTTGGATGTGAGGGCACACTCGAAAGTGAAAGTGTGTGTCGAGTGGGTTTTCAAAATTTGATGCTAAATTTGTGAGCGAGATATCTTTATATGAGTTTGTAATTTAATGACAGAATATAATCTTTATAATTTTATTTATATAATGATATAAAATAAATTTGGGAAACGCGTCATTCGCTCTCAAGCGAAAAATATCAATTTTCGCTCAAGCGAGACTTGAGTGAGTGAATTTCCGTGAGCTTTAACATATTTTCACTCAAGCAAGAGTCAATCTCACTTTCACCCTCGATCGAAAAATACCAATATAATTTATTTGTAAGTTATTATCAAAAAATTGTAGTAATTTAGTGGTTGAGATATTAACTTTCAACTCTAAAATACTGGGTTCAAATGCTGTCAGTGACAATTCATTAACTTAACGTGGAAAGTACTTTTTACGTCGGTTGACTAAAAACCAATGTAGAATGTGTTTAATATTCAACTTTCAACGTCGGTTCATCTGGGAACCGACGTAGAAAGTACTTTCTACGTCGTCTCAGCTATAACCGACGTTAAATAACAACGTAGAAAGTATATTTTGTAGTAGTACGTAAGCCTTTATTATTACGATGAACCTATACAACATAAAATTGTTTAAGTCTTCTCCTCGTTAGTATCTTGTGTGTTCCTTGTTTATGCCATTGATTGGCTTAGTGAATAAGTCAAATGTTTTAAATGCTTGAATGTTTGAGGAAGGAAACTCAAAAGATCGTTGATTATAATTTCATTATTACACTAGTCATTAACTTTCATGGTAACCAGCGAGGAGAAGAAGACTTAGGTTAAAAATGACAATGTTGGATCAAGAAACTAAAAGACTCAAAATATCCATAAATATCTCAAATGTTATGCAACACCTAATGAAGCATAATAAGAAAAAAAAAAAGAAAAAAAAAATATATATATATATATATATATATATATGATAGAAAAAAATAAAGATATAAATATTTTTTAAATATTTAAAAACGATAATCTTTATTTGCCATCTTCCTTGTAATATTAAAAAATTATGAAAATGAAATTATTATATATTTAAACTTTATATTTGTTACTTTATTATTTGCTATCACGTCTTGGATATTTATAAAAATTAAAAAGTTAAATTTTCTCTTTTACTATTAAAATATATATATTATATATAAATAATATTTTCTTGTTCTATTTTTCCACGTCCATTAAAATCACTTACTTTTTGTTTTTATTATTATTATTATTATTATTACTATTATTATTATTATTATTATTCAAAATCAGGACAGGAATAATAGAAGAAAATATTTGTTTAACGTCCAAGCAGCACTGTTATAATAATGATAGGGACAAAATTACAGCTGGCTACTCAAACCTCTTACGCAATAAATGATGCAGGCTTTTATCCATTCAGGTAAAAGAAGATATATAATACTTACTCTGATGTGATCCACTCCTTTGTCCTATTACGATTATAAAACAATAATTAAACTTTATGAAATCACTTCCCAAAAGTGGTTTTACGTTTCCCCCACTGGAATAAAGATACTTCACTCCACACGTACTGTATTTGTGGTATCACTTTGTCCTATATTATTTTTCACAAAAGGTTTTGTATAATAAATTCTAGAATTATTTTTTTCTAAACTTGATTTTATTTTTATATTTTAAAATTTGATTAATTAATGTTTAAATTTTAAAAGATAAAAATTTGATTTTTCTATTAATTTTATAACAATAAAAATATTATTAAATATTCAATTTAAAAATTAAATCACATATGTTAAGATTTTAATCATTTTATAATTTGTGACGGCAAAGAATCACTTATAAATTAAAATTAGAAATGGAAAATATTAAAATTATATATATTTTTTAAACTTAAAGTACTGAATTTATCAATATAAAAACTAAAGGAAAAATTTTAATGATACATAAAAGAATATACTTATCCCTTAATTTTCCATTAATTAAATGATAATAGTTATAATAGGAAAGAAGTCATGGTTCCAATTTAAATTAATTGTCGATAAAATAGGTGGGTTTACTATATATAAATACAATAACTAAAAAAATTATAGGAGTGATTAGCTAAAAAAATAGAATAAATTATAAAAGCAAAATCAACTTGTTACCTTTTTATTGTTGTTAACTAAAAATTTAAATCAAACCTACATTAGTTTACTGTTTTTAGTTTCCCAATTCCTAGCGTTGAGAAACACATTAAAAAAATAAAATAAAACTAAATTAGTTTATTTACTCTTTTTAGTCTCCCACTTTATCCCAAAATACCAAACAAATCATCCTTCAAGATTAGTCTTTTAATTAATATATGGATATACATATAGAGTCATTATTATTGGTAAACTAATTTTAAAAAGTAAAAGCAAACTCAAATTAGTATTATTACATTTTGTCCCACCCATTTTTATCCCAACCAAACAATTCTGGATGATGTTTAACTTTTGATCAGACGAGTACGTGAGAGAATTAGTAGACTTGAACAGAATTAATATATATTTACCTTTTTTTAGTATCACTTTTTAATCAAATGACAATATATATTATTTAATATCTATATAATTTTAAAATACTTATTATAAAAATTATATAATAATTTAAAATTTGAAAATATAAAACTATTTTCTACTGGAACTATTTCTCTTACTGTTTATAGGAAATGAATAATTAATCTCCTAAGAAATAAATAATTAATTTACTGTGATCGATAAAAATGATAAAATATAAGTTACTTTTAATTAGTGATAACATAAGTTATAATTTCACTTCCAAATTATTCTTAATAGTTTTTCATTTAAGAAAAAATAATAAATTTACTAAAATCTTTAAAAATAAGGTTAAGTTAACTATTTATAATTAATAATAACATAAATATTCTAAAAAATAGTTACTGATAGTATAAATTATTTTATTCTTAAATTATAATGTCTCTTAAGTACACTTCTTAATAATTTTAAAATGTATAAGAAATTTAAGAAGATTATTATTTCTTATTTTTGAAAACGGAGATGATAATATATAATTTAGATAAAATATCTCTCATTCTTCTCGTCACCGATACCCTATATATGGGGTATATGATTATCAGAACTCTTTTCTTTTTTTTTTAATTAGCATCACATACAATTATTTTTTGTTAAATTTATACGCTTGAGGTTGTTGTGAGGATTTCAATTTCCAATCTCCACCCAGAAATTAGTGCAAAGGCCGGCAGTACGTAAAGAGAAACCGCGTGAAAATTACCATTTGGAAGAGAATGCTAAAAACTCGTTAACTTTAACTTACATTTCCCAACGTACTCACTCAGTCACGGGTGAACTTACACACCCTGACATGCACACAGAACTACACATGCAACACAGCGAATGGAAAAAGAAATGCAAAGAAAATTTAAAAGTTGATGTCTTGCCAATGATGCATGGCTTTGTAAACCTGGACAATCACACAATTATCTAGTCTGAACAACTAAACCAATTTCCCTCCTAGTACAATTCTGTTCTTGCCTTGGCTTTGGTATACAACTTGATGAAAGAGAAACGATTTCTTCACTACATCTTTCTCAACTTGCTTGACTTATTCATGCATGAGTTATGCAATTCCTGGGAACATATATAAGGCAAAAGAAACTGTTGTTAAAGAATATACTATTATTGATCTTTCAATGAATATAGTGCGCCAAAGCTAAAAGTAGATTCAGGTTTTGAACATACAAAACCCTAATTTTCTTGCCCAAAGTTAAGCATATGCTCAAAGAAGAATCTTGTTCTAGCTAAGTATTACATAAAAAACAAAAAAAATCGTTGAGTTTTTGTCCAAGCAACGCTGATCTGGATCTGGTGTTTCCATACTGATCACACTTAAAAAATGTTGATCATGGTCATTGTAAATCTATTTACACTAATGATTTTATTTAAGAAAAGTGTTTTCTTTCTTATACACAGAAATTTAGATATATGTCTTTGTTTACAAAACTCATTTCTTTACAACATATTTTAAAATCCTCCATGATTCTCACGGCAAATTAATAAATAGATATATGATTTTCCGTTGTTTCTCAACAATAAAAATATTAACAGTTCCTACTTTCCCTTATTTTCTAGGAAAGAATGGGCAAAAGTTGAATGTCCAAAATATGTTTGAAAAAGGTATAATAGGTACTTTGAAAAAGGAGGAAAAAATGGAACATGATGGATGACAAGGCGAAAAGGCAAAGACAAGATGTAAAGTTGATGTGAAATGCGAGATAAAAGAAGAACGGAAGGTTGAAATAAATAATTAAACTGGATGCACTACCTTGATAAATATAAATATTAACTAACTATCTGCACACTTGAATCCATCTGGTGGGGTCTTGCCACAGTCAATGAGGAGCTGAAGAGCAATGGGTATTATGATGTTGATGTTAAGGACCTTAGCCCTAATTGTTGTGCAGAGGCACACTGCAGCATCTAAGTCCACAAGCCCTGCAAGAACTGGACAGCATGTCTGTTTAGCACTGCTTCCAATACCTATGTGGATGAGGCCACCAAGCACATCCACACAAGCTCCCAGTTTTAGAGAGTCAATGGGGCATGTTGGTTGTGCCGGTGGAGGGTATGGCACCACTGGTGGTGGTGGCGGTGGACATGGTGTTTCACTTGGAGGGCTTGGTGGTGTCACAGTAGGTGGAGTCGGTTCAACTGGTGGCACAGGAACAACAGGAGGGTACACAATGGGTGGTTTTGGCACATAAGGTGGTGTAACTGGCACCACTGGTGGTTTAGGGATGTAAGGAGGTATAACTGGGACAACAGGTGGTTTAGGGATGTAAGGAGGTACAACTGGTGGTTTAGGGATATAAGGAGGTATAACAGGGACAACTGGTGGTTTAGGGATATAAGGAGGTATAACAGGGACAACTGGTGGATTAGGGATGTAGGGTGGTGTGACAACAGGTGGTTTAGGGATGTAAGGTGGTGTGACAACCGGTGGTTTTGGGACATAGGGGGGTGGTTTGACAACTGGCGGTTGTGGAACATAAGGTGGATGTGGGTGGACTGGTGGTTTAGGGTGAGGTTTTGGGACATAGGGAGGGTGTGGATGCACTGGTGGCTTAGGGTAGTGAGGGGGTTTTGGAACATTGGGTGGTTTCGGATGTGGAGGTTTGGGAACATAGGGTGGTTTGGGAGATGAGTGGGGTGGAGGGCAGGGTTTGGGTGGTTTGTGAACGGGTGGCTTCACTATGGGAGGGTGCTTGGGAGGTTTAGGAGAGGGGTAAGGGCAATAAGGACAAGCAAGAACATTGAGCAAGGTGCTCAAGTTCAAAAGAAGGAACAAGAGGACATTGGCTAGTGCAAACTTTCCCATGATTCAAAGATTGTGTAGGGAAAGAGAAAGAGGAATATATGTTGATGTCGTTGCAATGAGTTTCAAAGAATGATGCTCTTCTTATATGATGATGAACCAACCCTCAAACCCTAGCTAGCTTGTTTTTCTGTTTTTTTTTTTTTTTTTTTCTCTTTCTCGTGAGTGTCGATCACGGACAAGAGTTGTGGCAATCAATCAATCTAAATCTAAACCTTACTCCTAACAATTGGAATTAAATTATTAATTTTGTGGGGATGAATCATTGACTTGAAGGACCGAAAAATGTTTCAGGATATAGGTAGGGCCCACCGTGTGGCAGAGTGAGTTCCCTGGTTGGATTCATGCACAAAGGCAATCACAGTGACAAAAGAAAAAGGAAAAGTGGGCCATGGTGTTATGTCCAAAACTGCGATTTCATTTTTTTCATGGACAAGGGGAATCAAGAAAAAGCAGTGGTGAGCTAGAGGACATTTTTGACTTGTAGCGACAAGTGGAAGTAGGGTTATTCAGCCCGTGATGAAGATCAAAATGTTATATAAACATGCTTTAGAATTAGTGGGTTAGTCCCTAACCATTCGTGTTTCGTGCTTAGGTAGTTAATGTTGGCTTTCTCGTCGGAAAAGTTAAATATAAACCTATAACTTATTTAAATTTACTTTTAGTAATTTTTCTTTCATATTCAAAACGTGGATTCAAAAACTAACACATGTAATTAAACACGTACAATATTCCTTATCTTTCATTAACTTAATTTGAGTTGACAAAAATTTTGACCGGTGAATTTTTAGAAATTATGTATAATAGTTTGCGAAGATACGCTGAAGTTATTTCTGTATCCTTGTATTCGATTAAGTTTTAGGTGGATGTTCGAAAGTAGGTTAGATAAAAATATTTATAATATAAATTAATTTAGATTTATTTTAACCTAATTTATTTAAATCATTATATTTAGGGTGACAAAATAGATCAGGTCTGGCAGGTCGATCGCTAGCCCGCTATAATATAGCGGGGTGGGTTGGTATTTTCAATCCACCAGCACGCTTTGACCCGCCTCACCAAATTCACCAATCTGTCGGGCCAACCTGCGGACTGGGATCGGATCAGCCTGCAGCGCCTAATTAATAAAAAAATAATTTTTTATTATAATAAAGTTAATTATAAAAATAATATATAAAGTTAAAAATTTTAAAAAGAGAATTAAAAAAGTTTCACTCTCACGAAAAATATTCTCCTTACTTAAACACAATCTTCTCTCACCTCTTCTCCTTGTTCATCCTAAGCACTATTATTTTTATCCTTATGACTTGAATTAAAGGTGTAAGAATTATTCAACCAAGAATAATGTGAAGTTCTATCAAATAAAAAAGATATAGGTATTTGAATTTTTTAATATAAAAAATATAAATTTTATAAGTTTTAACGTTATTTATATATATATATATATATTTATTATTTATTATTATGTAAATTTTATTATTGTTCTAAATTATAATTTCTTAAAACAATGTATTGATTTATATTATTAATATATATATATATATATATATAGAATTATTGACAAACAAATAATAATCTTATTATTAAATTTATTGAAATTTTTTATTTTAAAAAATAAATTATTATTTTCTAAATTATGGCGTGGCACTCGCCAACCCGTCCCTTGGCGGGGTGGGCCAAAGTCTACAACCCGTCATGACTATAACGGACCAACCGTCCGCCCGCTTTTGGCGGGTCAAAGGTGGGGGATGGGCCAAAACGAGGCGGACTCGACCGTTTTGCCATCCCTATTTAGACTAGACCAGTTTGTATATTTATGATTGACCAATTTTATAAAATAATAACTATTTTTTAAATAAAAATTAAAGTGATATTATTTTATTAAAAAAAGACGTATGTGTTACTGAAAAATTTGTAAATATATCGAAAGGAATAAATCAAGAAGTATAAGAGATCTTAAAAGAAATAATGGTAATGGAAGATATAGAGGTTATTAGGAGGTGAATATTGTTAAGGTTCCAACATAAAATCAATTGGCAATATATGGAGTAACCTAACATGTATTTAACCATACCACATGACATGAGGGAGGTGATATAAGATTTCCAACATGTCCCCTCCAATGAAGCATGTTGAACCAAATAGGGTATTTTAAACATTTTGGCCCAAGACAAACAACAAAATGTACTTTTGCCCCACAACGAAAAGACAACTTTTGACTCAAGACAATAACTGAAAAGAAGTTAGGGTTTGGTTCTGATACCATAACAAGATTGTGATTTTTATCCATGGAAAAAGTAAAGGGGAGCAAGGAGAAACCAGTAAGAGTAGCAAAACAAAAACCAAAATAAAAGAAGAAAGAACGAGAAGCAAAGCTGAAGAAGGGATGAAGAAAAACAAGAAGAGAAAGAATATTAATTTATTGAAATTAATCAATGATCTACAAGAGAAGAGGAACTAAGATATATAAAATGTGGAGCAAGAAGAATGGGGTAGTTGTAAACAACTGTCACCCTTAAAGCTAACCAAAACAGGTGGCAGTGACACAAAAAAACAAAAAGGAAAATATAAAAAAAAGGACCCTAGGGAAAAAATAGAAAATAGAGTTTTTTAAATATTAAGACTAAAAGAGTTAATTAAGATTAAAAATGTTAACCTAGTAATGAAGTGGAATGTGTAGATCCAAGGTACATGCTTTAAATTCTTATGATTAAGAAATGTTCGAAAGCACATATTATAAAAAAGGGAGATTGAGTTGAACAAATGAGAAGTCAAATTGAGAGTATGATGTGGTCAATCAAACGTTGAGAATAAGAGAATTGAAGATATCAAGTCCAAGGCCATGAATTGAGAGAAACGAGACATTAAGAAGAAGTTATGCGATCGAGAAATATGCGGAAACAATTATGGTCTTATTACATGACATGTGCGCTTATTGTAACATCCTAATTTTCGGTACCTCTAATTTGTTAAATTTTGACAAAATTTTTGTCAAATTTTTAATAATTAAATTATTAAGAATTGGGGAAAGTGACTATAGAGTTTTATGTTTGTTAGATTATTTGTGATTTTCTGGAAATTTTCTAGAATTAAAAAAAATAATAATAAAATAATAATATATCTAAAAAATTAGATTTTGACTTTTAAAAATGCATTCTCCCCGCAACTTCCAGTAACTTCTTTCTTTCTCTCATTTCTTGTTTTCTCTCAAACCCTCCTCACTTTGAAGTTTGATTTTGAGGGGGAAATATTGATTTTCTTGAGAAACTCCAAGAGGTAAGTTTGTTTCTCTCGATCTCTTCTACATTTCTACGGTTTTATTTTTCAAAACGGTGCATTTTCAAATTTTTTCCTCACTTGGCTAAGCTTGAATGGGAATAGAAAGAGTGTTATTGTAGGTTTTACACCCAAGACACTAGAATAATACTTAGAATTGAGGATTAGAAGTGATTAAGCTAAAAACCTTAAGCACCCTAATTCGTAAGTCACTGTTCATTGAATTTTGGGACTTGTGTGAACAGAATTAGGAATTGGTATCTTCATAAAAGTTGTATCCCTTTTAAGTTATCGAAATTTAGAAACTTGTTTCACATCAAACGGATATTTGTAGCTCAAGTTATGTTCATTTTACTGTCAAGTGTTATAGCTGTGAAGTTAAGAGGTTGCCCTGTTTCAACAGCCTCGGTTTTTGAATTACTGGGATTGATATGTGTGAAATTAGGACTTGATTCCTTCATAAAAGTTGTAGGAAATTATATTTCCGAAATTTAGAAATTTGTTTCATGTCAATATCTTATGTGTAGCATGAGTTATAGTCAAATTACCAAGGCATGTTCAAAGTGTTATTGTAGTTGAGCCATGTTGGAAACAACCAATGTAAACTGAAAAACTGCATTTATTCTGTTGAACATTCAAGGACTCGATGCTGCACTTGATAGACATAAAGATTATTGATTTTGATGATGATTCAAGAACACAAAGACTTAAGAGTGTTGAAGACTTGTTTTGTATTGTAATAACTCTGTTTCAATTAGATTGAGTCTGTAATATTAGAGTTTAAGATAGTCAGTACATAGTCTGCACCTTAGAAGCTTCAAAAAGCTCAAATATATCATCCAGACTCGGCTTTAATCGATTAAATAGGGAAATAATTGATTAAAACAGTGAGAAAACTCATTTTCTGTAACAACTCACTGCTTTAATCGATTAAACCAACTTTTAATCGATTATCAGGCGGTTTAATCGATTAAACCACCTTTTAATCGATTAAAACAGAGAGGTTTGGGTTCTGTTGATATTTGGCTCTGTTTTAATCGATTAATACTTCTTTTAATCGATTATTTTAGTCAGATTTTGATTTATAATTTCAAATCAAACCTATTTTCGAAAACCCTTTTCCCAAAAACCCTAATTCCGAAAATCCCAATTCCCAATTCCCAAACCCTAATTTCTCTACTTAAACTCTTCTATGGCACTTAGAAAAGGAGAACAACCTTTTTCATACAAAATTTAAGTGCTGTAGTGCCAGAGAACTGTTTGTTGCAAGGAAAAGGGGCTTTTGGAACCTGGTGTGGGCTAGAAGCGATAAGAATCACTAAGTGGAGTTCTTAGTGGATTGTGTGCTATGCCGTCTCTAGGGAAAGTTGTTCATCATCTCTTGTGGATTTCAAGAGAGGTGTTTTCTTATCTTTATCTTTTCAATTGTAATCTGTTTGTAACAACTTGATTATAGTGACAGCGTTAATCCTCTGTTTGAGTGATTAGCAACTGGACGTAGGATCTTTTGATTCGAACCAGTATAAATTTCCTGTGTAAGATTCTCTTCTCTTCTCTATTTACATTTACACAGTTTTTAATCGGTAAAATTTGGGGAAAATTTTGAAAACCTAATTTTTATTAAGAAACCAATTCACCCCCCTCCTCTTGGTTTTTGTCCGACCACACGAACATTCCGCTGCGCGATTCTAACAAGTGGTATCAGAGCTTGCTTTGATAGTCATTCA